CCGCACAACACGCCGCCCGCTGCCCCACTGCATTTATTTGACATTATTTAGCATAAAATAATATGGCAAATTGCTGGAAGATGTCCATTTAAATTTGGCCACAGCCACAAGACAATAATGCACTGAAAGTACATCGAGTCTCTATATCTCACCATGATTGCCCGCTGTCTCACTGCTCCGTCCGCCTCTGCCCCGCACGACATGCCGCCGCCCCACTCTGCCCGCCTCCGCCCCGCGCCGCACGCCGCCACCCCGCTCCCCGCTCGGCCACCACCCGCACCGCACACATGCCAACGCAGCAAAAAAAAAATCTTCTCGACAGAAGTTGTTGTACTACATATAGAAAGTGATAATCAACATCAAGGCAGGGAAGAAATTGAAAAGAAGACACATGCTACTTGCATCCAATTAGGATAAAGAACATGGCAAGTATCACCTGTGGACCCACTGGGATAGAGATACATAAAGGATCCATCAAAACCCAAGCATTTTACAATTAACTGCATTTATTTGACATTATTTAGCATAAAATAAATTGGAAAGTACTGCAGAGGGGCATTGATGCATGTAACCCATTCTTTACGCGTCCGACAACAGGAGGTAATTGCTCGTGTGTTGCCACGGGAGCACAAATATTCTAATGGTTCAAAATGAATGGTGTCGATGATATACCATATCCTCAAGCACATCAAGCAACATTGTCATCCGACAATGTTTATTCACCTCAAAACTATAGTTCATATCCACAAATAAAGCATTTACATATAATGAAAATAAAGCATTTGCAAATAATGACAACTCCTTTGTTATGAAAACTTCCATCCAGGTTGATCTCTCAACTGTTGAAGATCGTGAACCAACCTATGGTTGCATGATTAGAGGGATAGTGGTATCCCCATCCCACAGGAGTTCAAATCCAGGTGCTCGCAATTATCCTGAATTTATTTCAGGATTTCTGGTTTAGTGGGAGGAGACATTTCCATCGACTACGAGGCGCCTATTGTGACTTTGTAAAATTTCAAGATCACATGTCGGCTCAGTCTCTCGGAGGTGCTTAT